TCGTAGGAAGTACTGGTCTTTTATTCTAGATTGGATTTGGAAAATGTTTAACTCTTGACATTAATATTTCTGAAGAGCACCAGTCTCCTTCTGCTTTGTTTTCTTTACAATTGACATGCACTTAGAGCGGGAAAATCTGATTGTGGTTTGACCTAGCAGTGATATCTGAACTACTCTTAAAAAGAGAACCTTTGTAAGAACCTGTTAATAATATATTTTAGCAACATGTTTAACATAAAAAATATAGCTCTAAGCCAAAAGGTAGAAGGGAATGCATTTGAATTTTAATACTTTCAATTTTACTATTCTGTAGTTTCTACCACTACCCTAAAGGATGACATTGATAAAATCACTTATTTTCCAGAGGCAGTAATTTGAAGTCTTAGAGAAAAATCCCAAACAGAAGAAATGTCACTCTATTTATTTATTTATTTGTTTGTTTGTTTGTTTATTTATTTATTTATGGGCTTTTTAAGAAACTAGCCAAAGACTATAAATTATTCAAGGTTCCTATTGAGCAGAGTTATTTTTCTGTATGTAACTGTCTAGAGAATAAATAAGATCCTTTCAAACATTGCAACGACTGGACTTCTGGTACACTGCTGCCAGCAATCAGAAGTCTGGAGCAGATGCTTAATGTTGGCTGCTTCTACTGCTTCTTTCCCCTGCTTTTGTGCCAATTTTAATGACAAATGTGTTTTGGTGGGTTATACTTGACACTTTATGCTTAATGATTTTCTTAGGCAGCTATCTCTATCTGAGTAGAAACTCTTAAAAAGGTTACAGGTTCTACTCAGAGAAAAGATTCAAAATCTGTCTGAATGCCTTTTAAGATCTTGCTAAACTGCTAGTTACTACTGGGGGAAAAAGCATTAAAATAACTTAAGATCTATTATATTGGTAACTTAGAATGCAAAATAATTCATTTTGAAACCTCTCAAGTTTGAAAACAAGATGGTGCACATTAAATACCATAGTTTTCCGAAAGTGAATATGCTCATTTGGAACTCATTTTTTTCTGCCTGAGCTACAACAATTTCCTAAAACTCCTATGTGGGGATGTGACAGTTTTGATGATCTCTGACTAGATGAACTGATTAATCTCTTTTGGTAATATTCCTTTTTCTCCTCGGTAAGAGTTTTAAAAATTTAGAACAGCTTCACTTTTCTAGTCTTGCCACATTTCTTTGTCTTATTAATGCTTTGCCTCTCCGTTTTTCCAAAAGACACATTTTTTAAATCAGTTTTTAAATTTTCTTTACTAAAATTTATTTTATAATTTCTTAATTACATTTTATTGTTGTATATGGTATACAATGTTTTTCTTAAAGCATGTGTGCAGCACATGATAATCAAATAAAAAGTATGACCATATGCATTATTTTCAACAAAGAACCTTACATTCCTGTGTCTATTTTTTTTTCCTTGAACCTTTTCCAAATTCTCCTCCCCCATCACCCCCTTTGTATATAGTTTGAAATCAGGAAATGTAGTATTTTCACCTTTGTTCTTCCTCAAGATTGCTTTTAATTAGTTGAGACTTATTTTATTTGTGGTTTATTACAAACTTTATAATTGTTTATTTTTGTCACTTAATTTTGGGTAATATTCTCTTCTAGTTAATGAGCAAATTAATGTAATTGAGAACTTTCTTTCTTCTTTTTATTATAGTCTTTCAATGCTATCTCTTCTAAGTTTTTTTTAGCGGCACCTCAACATGTTTGTACAAATATTATACTTTTATTTTCCTTTATTTAAAAAGATTCCTAATTTCCTTTTATCATCTTCTTTAGTCTTTTGATTATTTATAAGTATATTACTTATTCTAAATATTTGGTTATTTTTTCTCATATATCTTGTTATTATAGTTTAATTTAACTGCCAAATTATGAGAACGAACTATGCATGATTTGAGCTTATTTAAAATTCTTGAAACTTATATGTTATCATAAGAAAAACAATATTTTTATTAGTAGTTACTGAGCTTTATGAGAACGAGAGATTAAATTTTATAAAATTACTTTTTAAAGCATCTCTGAGATTTATTTTTGAATTGTAAACATAATAAGTTATGTTTTCTAATAAATCGTGACTTATTTGATTAAGATGGACTTAATCACAATAATTCTTTATTATATTAAATAATTTTATTTAGTAATTTATGCATATAAAATAAATGACATTATTTTCCTTTTAATTTAGAACAATTTTGTCATTTCAATATCTAAATTATGTACATTGGTTTTATAGAACAAAGTTGCATATTTTCATATATTTACTTAAACAGAAATAGTTTATACATTATAAATATCTGTTCATTGAACTTTGAAAGAACATAGTATATAAATAATTTTGGGACAGAGGCTATTTGAGTTAATTCCTTCTTAGTTGTATTTGTTTTCTTCTGTAGTTATAGCTTCATTAGACATTCTACCACTTCTTTGGTTATCTGTAATATTTAAATACTTCTAGCAAAATGTATTCCTTGAAAGGGACTGTCATTTACTGAATAGGTTTCAAAGTGGAAGACATTCAGAAATGTTATTTTTCTCTAATTTTGATCTTTAAATACATTCTTATTCATCTCATTTAAAAATTTTTTCTTTGAGAGATTTTTTGCTATTAGGTGCATGCACTTGCCAGAGAGACAGAGAGACAGAAGGTAAGAAATCACCCACCACAGCAGATGGCCAGGCTACACTCCCTTCTCCTCTCGTCTCCTCCTGGGATCTTGGGCAAGCATGTGCATGACATGTGCCCGGCTGAGTTTGAAGCCGCAGGTCTGGAACTCTAACAGTGGTTGCCCAGGTGGGAGTCCAGCCATGTAACCATTAGGCCATCTGCTGGCCCAGTCCCATTGTTTTTAATTCCTTTATTCCTTTCCACACAATAGCAGGATTTTCACATTGCATTTCACATCACATTCTCTAACTTTTCATCACCTCTTTGTGCCAGATCTCAGTTTATCCTTTAATATTTCACCATTCAGTGCAATTTTGTCTCATGTTCCTATTTTCAAGTAAACATTGCTATAATTATTTGTACATTCTATATTTTGTACAGAAATATACAAAAATATATATAGTATAGGTATTGGAGCAAAAAGTAAATTTATTCAAACAATCATCATATAGCTCTATAAACAAAACATTATACCAACCCTAGAAAATCTATGTTCCTTTTAGTCTCTGCCTTTCTAACTGTATGATTGTACTGACTATTGACATCATAATTAGTATGACTTAATCTCATAGTTTCTTTTTTTTTTTTTAGAGGTTTTTGCTATAGGGCGCATGCGCTCGCCAGACAGACAGAGAGAGACATAGAGACAGAAAGCGAGAAATCACCCCCCAGAGGGGATGGTCACGCCGCAATCCCTTCTCCTCTATTCTCCTCTCGGGATCTTGGGCATGCACGCACACGCGACCGGGTGTGAGTTTTAATCCACCGGGTCCAGGACGCAAACCGTGGTCGACTACATGGGAGTCCAGCGACATAACCATTACGCTAACTGCTGGTTCCCAATCTCATAGTTTCATACATAAAATTATTATGCACTTTTATGTGCACAGTTCTTTTTACTCCATGCCTTATTTATGAGATTCATTCGTGTAGCTTCATGGTGCCATGTTTTCGGTCAATTTTTTATTATTGGTTGGTATTCTATTTGATGAATATACTATAATTTATTTATATAATCATCTATTGATTAACAGATGATTACATTTGGGAGCTATGATGAATAATGCTCCAGGGAAATCCTAGTATATGTATTTTGGTGCAAATATTTATGCAGTCTCCAATATCTGTTGGGATGTACCCAGGAGTGGAATACAGTCCTAGTTCATTACTGTATTTCTCAACAGAAATACCTGTGGCCAATTTGAGAAAATGCCTCTCCATTATCAAAAGAAATAAATAATATTCCAGGAGCTACCAACAAATACAATAACTTTAATTTTTTTTAAATAGAGATTTTTGCCATAGGGGATGTTTGCTCACTGGAGACACAAAATAAAGAGTCAGAAAACAAGAGAACACCCTCCCCCCCCCGCCGCCAGGGGGGACGGTCACATCACAATCTGTTCTCATCCATTCTCCTTTCGGGATTTTGGGCGCACATGCACACGCACCCAGCATAAGCTTCAAGCCTCCAGGCCCATGAGTAAACTGCAGTAAGTCATGAGGGAGTACAACAATGTAACCATTACACCATCTGCTGGTCTCCCAACAAATATAATAATTTAATGGAAAAAGCTAAGGAATTTTTCAAAGTTGTTATACCAACTTACATTTTCAGAGAGTACATGGGAGTTCCATTTATATTCTCAGCAGTTCTTAGCATTTTCAGTTTCCTTTTCTGTTAGTCACATTCTGATAATGTGCAGTATTATCTCCCTCTGATTTAAATGTTCATGTCGCTGACTTCTAAAGAGACTGAGCTTTTTCTTTTTTTTTTTTTCCCTTTCTACTACCTGTTCTATCACACCAGGAAATTTCCCTTCTCTTTTTTTTAAGGTTTATTTATTCATATCCTCTGTCAGAGAGAGAAAGGGAGAAAGATATACCTTACTTTGTCTACACACTTTGACCCACTCCCAGACCTAGCCAGCACAGACTGTGAGCATGTGTGGGCCCAATCATAAACCCTGGACCTTTTCATGCGGGTCTAGAACTGTAGGTCATTGCACTATCTACCTACCATGCTACCATCCAGTCTTGAATTTTATATATATTTATATGTCAGCCATTTAGATATTCTCATTTATGAAGTGGTTGCTCACATGTTTAGTTCACTTGATTAATTATATAGTCTTTTTTCTTAGTAATATGCAGAGATTATCGTGTATATCTGTCTTTTGTCAAATGTAAATATTTCTTCACATTCTGTGACTTATTCATTCTAAGTATGCTGTTCTCTGATGACTGAGAGTTCTTAACGTTCAGTTAGCAGTTTTTAGTGATTATTGCTTTTATGCTTTGTTTATATATCTTTGCAGGTCCCAAGGTCATGAAATTTTTCTATATTCCTATCTAGAAACTTGTTAAGGTGGCATGTAGTATATTTTGAATGTGCAGTTCTCTCACTCCTTAAGGTACTGGATGGATATTAAATCACACTGCACCAAATCTGACAATCACAAGAAGTTGTGTTAATCACACATTCTAGCATATGCAAAGCAAGGGAGATCTCTGGGTGAACAGTAATAGTGTCTCACCAGCAAGAACTTACTCTTGAATACCTTCAGAAAAGAATTGGGAGAACAAGAGTGAAGTCCCAGGGGAAAGATATAGAGAGGTAACTATAATGTGTTTGTCGTACCTATAGTATGAACTAAAATAATGGCATGGGATTGAACGTGGTGAATTAATTTACAAAAGTAGTAATATCAATAGGTCTTGTTCTAAATGGCTTTGGAGGTTACATTGTCCAGAATGATTTAAAAAATTTTGAATTAAATGATTGTTAGGATTTGAGATTAAAGATATAGAAAAAAATTATCTAAGATAAATTTATTTTTATTTATTTATTTATTTATTTATTTATTTATTTATTTATTTTGGACAGAGTCTCTCTGTGTTATCCAGGCTAACCTCAAGCTCAAAATCCTGGTCAATCACTTTCAGTTGCTGGGACTACAGGTGTAGCTGTATCTGTTTTTTAGGTTGGACCAGGAATTATACTCAAACCTCCTATGTCGTCCCAGTTAAGAAACACAGTGTCTTAGCAACTGTACCATCACTTCAGGGTACTTTATTGAATTTTGTTTTTTATATTGTCCTTCAGACATTAAGATGGAGAAGTCTGATGATTAGTTAAAAATGTAACTATTAAGGTCCAGTAAAAACTAGGACTAGGACTAGAGACAAAAGATTAGAAAGGTTTTGTTGTGCAGCTAATATTGCTGGAACTTGAAAAATTTTATAAGGAATGACTCAGGAGTTATAAATATATGCATTAAGTTTCCAGTAGGATAGGGTTAGATGGTGGCACAGTGGTAACATAATGGGACCTGCACATAAAGAATTTGGGTTCCTGTTTTGGGACCTTCCTGTACACACTAAGTGCCCATAATTAAGCCAGCTTGGACTTGGGGGGTAGATTGTGGGGTGGGGGCTCTTTAGAGGGTGCCTATCTCCCTCCCTCTCCTTTCTTTCTCTCACTCTCATGGGGGAAGTGAATAAATAAAGTTTAAAAAGACACCAGTAAGATTTACTTTTAAATAAATGTACATAAAGAGTAAACATGTGAAGAGCCACCTTGACAGAAGGGAAAACTTAACAGCAATGAAAAAATTGATACTAAATTAATAGGATAATGTGTTATATATCTGGAATAAATTTATTCTTCAGAAATTGGGTTGGTAAACCATGGAAAAATGGAAAAAAATCATAAAACTGAATTGTGACAGTTCTTATTTTTCAAGGGCCAAGGGATTTGTTGACTGATCATAATCTGTTATAATCACTCTTTTTTTTTAATAACATCATATACTTTAGCTTTAAAGCCTGAAGGATAAACTCTTGACCATGAAAAATAAAATAGTGCATCTAAAGTTCACTTTAAAATCCTAAACATAATCGATAGAATTATTTAGAAATAAAATATAAAAAGCGTAAAGAACTGGTGATGTAACTCTGAGCACTAGCAATATATTGAGGTGAAAGTAAAAGAAACTAATCCAATAAAAGCCTGGAGAGAAATAAGAAAATGAGTGTTAGAGGATCAGAAAAGAGAAGTAATGAATATCAATAAGACAATAGAGTTAAAATGGTATAGCAAATGATTTCAAAGCTGCAATGGTGACAGTTTACGTCTGAAAATATGCAGTCGACTTTCAACTAGAATTATAGCCTTCAGGCAGTAAGCTAAAAAGTGATGATGATGGGTAACTAAATCTAAACTAACACCCCTAAACCTCCATTTTTACCTTTCTCTAAGATTCTCTTATTTCACACAATAAATTTACCACAGATTTTTTTTTAATGAATGCAATAACTAAAAGAGCTAGTGATAGTTATATTGAGAACCTGTAAGGTTTTGGACACTGTAAGATATTTTATATTCAATACCATATTCAGTCTTTAGCCAAGTAAATTAAGTGTTATGATTATCTCTTTTACAGATAGGAAACTGGGGATTTGAAACTTTTATTCAAAGACATGAATAGTTATAAGCTGAGAGGCTGAGATAAACATAGTGGCTGGGATATGACATAAAGTCTATTCTATAGCCATTACAACAAATTACTTAAGATGATTAATACCCCTATCAAGACCACTTCTTAACTTTCTTTACTATATTTTTAACAGGCATTATTTCTTCAAGAGGAAAAAACTCTACAAAACTAAAGAGGAGAAAGGATAATCTCAAATGGTGGCTTTTTTCCAATCTCATCTTCACTTTAATTTTGAGATATTCTGTATAATATTGGGGTTAAGAAGGATTACAAGATAGAAGTTAGAAACTACTAAACAGTATTTATTTAGAAGAATCTGTCGTCCATGGAATCCAGTTAAAAAAACTCTTGAGTTACTAAAACATCTCCACAAGCCAATTGCTTCCAGAAAGTCTCTACTGCAGCACAAGATGGTTCCATTAGCAGATTATGATCAACACTTGGAGCCATTAGACCACTCCTACCAAACAGCCACAACCAATTCATTAACACATCAATACACAGACAAAAATATCAATCAACTCAATAACCAACATGTGGCTAAAGTGCAATCCTATAGCAATTACCTTGCAGCACCTCCAGTAGGCTCTAGCAAGAAGGTCCAGAGCCCTTCGATATCACCATCTTCCAAGTCTCAGGACAACATTTCGCAGAGCTTCTATAACAAAGCTTTGAAATCACCCTTATCCTTCTCCAAACATCAGGCCACACCTTCTCTAGACCTCCACCAGAGAAGTTCAGGATGGCCCATTAGGAGAGGGCTGAGCTCACCTCTGGCCTACTCTAAACCTCAGACAACAACCTCACCTAATCTCCACAAGAAATCATCATCATTTGCACCCAGTCAAACAGCCCTCAGTTCACCATTACCCTTTGCTGAACCTCAGACTACATCTTCAGGCTTAGACCTCTGCAGAACAGCACCTTCACTGAAGTCTAGTCAAACACTCCCAAGTTCATCATTATCCTCTCTCCAACATCAAGAAGCACCTTCCTTAAATATTATCTGGACATCACCTTTGGAATCCAACGAAAGAGTTCTTAACTCACCATTACTTCAATCTAAGTCTCAGAAAACATCTTCACTGGACTGCCTTTGGACATCTTTATTGGAACAGAGTCAAAAATATTTGAGCTCACCATCACTCAACACCAAACTGCAAACAAATGACTTCTTTCAGGAATCGCCTTCTTTGGAGCCCAATCAAATGGCTCTGAGCTCTTCATTACCTGACTCCAGACTTCAGAAAACACCTATGTTGAGCTCTTATCACAGTATTCTGGGTGTACCATTGTCCCACTCAAAACTCAGGAAAACATCTTTAGCACATTCTGTTCACCAGTCTCAGAGCTTACCATTATTCCAACCTAAATCCCAGACAGTACTCACACCTGATCATAAATTTCGGACGCTCAGTTCACCAGTATGTCACTGCAAGCTTCAGAGTACTACTTCACCAAATAACAAAAACAGAGCCACAAATTTACCATCACCCTATCCCAAACCAAATGCCTCAGGCCAATCATTGTCAAGTCCCAAACACTACACCAGGAACACTGCTGTTTCAACATCGGATTCTAGATTCCCGAGTAAAAACAGCTTTGCTCTTTGTGCACAGATGGAATCAAATAAAGAAATTCCATGGACTTTAGATTATAGTCAGCCATGTGTTGTTAAAGGTGGAACTGTCCCCAGGGATATTGTAGACAAAATTGTCAATTCTATCTCCAAGACCAAAATCCAGAGGGATCTCTGTAGGCAGATTCTCTTTCGAAGGATGAGGGGAAAGCCAAATCCCCGTCCTGGTCCGCGCCTTTCATCAAATTATATGGTTTGTTTAGCTTGTGCTTCCTGCATAAAATCTCAGTGTAACCACCTTACAGGAAAGAAAGATCCTCACCGAGCAACACTGTTTGTCATACCAACACCTGAGATCAGTTCTGAGGGTAAAACAAACGTGAAATTAGTTCTCATCCTTTCTCTGCCAGAGACTTCTTCCTCCTCTTCTCTCCCTCTTCTTATGCAAGAAGATCAGTCTGATGAAGCCCCTGAAGATAACCTTGAAGGAATAGAGAAGATGTCACACTTCTTCCCTACATCTGAATCTGCTATTATCCAGGGGCTTAATATGAAGAAACAATGCTTGACAGTAGATTCTGCAAACAAAATGATAAGCCAACCACCCCAGCCCACTGACTGGCTGTTTTATGTTAAAAAAGGTAGTAATACTCAGCCACAATCCCCACTCCCCTCATCTTCTAACTCTTCCTCTTCCTCCTCCTCCTCCTCTGCCTCCTCTGCTTCCTGTTCTTCATCTTCTTCCTCCTCTTCCTCTTCCATCTCACTCTCCTTACCCCCTCCTCCCAAAGATTCTAGCACACCTTCTCTCTCAGGTTGTGTATTCACAAAGGCATTTAGTTATCACCGGTTACCTCCTGGGGTCTCCTGGCTTGAATTTATATGTAGTAAAGATCATCAGCCCCTTCCTGGGAAACTATATCATAGTCAATCACCAGCCCCCAAAACAAAACCAGTGAGGAATAACACCACAGTAAGAGGGACAAAGGGATCAAGCACACTGTTCAAATATTTCCAGAAGAAGTTTCAAAATGAGAAATCCCGATTAAATTAACTTTTTTGTCTCTTTAAAATCATTGATCTCTTAGTTCTTTAAGACTAGTGTTAATGTCTTATCCTATTTATAACTAAATGTGACTCCATCTTAGCTAATTAAGTACTTATTTAAGGGGAACTATTACCCTTAAGTCTATTTTCTAGTTAAATAATTGACTATTATATGTAAAAAAAACTGAATCATTTTAAAGTTCATTTTTTATTTATCTCTTTTGAGAGAGACAGAGAGAGAGTCACTCATGATCAGTTCCTGTATGTTGTGATCTTCCCTCCAGTTTCCACGCAGCCAGGATCGCAGTGCATGGAGACATGTGGTCTCGTGCAGGTCAACTCAAGATCTAAACCTGGACCTTTCATGTAGCTCCAATATCAACAGTGGCACTCTAACAGCTGTGCCACTACATCTGTCTTTTGTGTTTTTATCCAGTGTGTGGCTTCTAGTAGGCTCTGTATAGTCATTGTTAAATGCATTTATGACAATTAGCCGTAAACCAAAATATGTCATCAATCTTGTCCAGAATAGTATGTAGTACATTATCATTCTTCTTCATAAAGACATGATAATGACAATATCCTCAAGATATGTTGGTAATCTGTTTACCTACCTTAAAGGAAACCCAAATTATGTTCAACAGGTGAGAAAATTACAGAGAGAAATATTTTCAGTGATATGTTCCTAAGGGAAAAGTCTTCAGTTGCTATCGATTGAAGATACAATGATTTATTCAACCTTGGTTTAGAACATGAAGAGAATAACTAACTGGTACAAGTAATCCTACTTCATACTGATTGTGGCAATATTTCAATCATGGGCAGTGAAATCACCTTTACTTCTATCTATATCATCAAAATAGATTAGTGTTTAAAAATGTTTTTGTTCCACAGGTCTAACTTAGTGAGAAGAAAGAAAGTTCCTAATGTACCTTAAGTAATTATGTCTCGCTCCAAGGGCTAGAATTAGTATCCTACTTACACTGATGGCTCTCAGTCCTGCTTTTCTTCCCCACATCTTTTCTGATCACCTGACTGCAAATGGACATTTCTAGTTGGAACATGCTACAGGCATCTCAAAGTCAGCACGGGCAAGCCAGATTTATAATTCTTACATTTACAATTTAAGCTTTATATCTAGAATCCTTTATTCCATGTTTCCTGTTTCAGTGGATGTACCATTGTCTACCATGGTACAGGCTGACTGTTTTTCTCATTGCCTACCCTTTCCATGAATTCAATGGCTTTGATTATCTCAAATCCAGCCTTTTTTAAATCCTTACCTAATGCCACTATCCTAGTTGTGGTCATAGCCACTTACCACCTGCAATAATTTGTAAAACTGTACTGTGATTTTGGAGTACTTTTAAAAATGTCACTTCACTGCTTATACTTCTAAAACCATTGCCCTTTGTTTTGTGGGGAAAGTTAAAATTACTTATGCTTAAACTACGGTAACTTTTTAAAACTGATTACTTTATCTTCTCTAGTCTTCTACTGTATACTTTAGCAGCACTGTATTTTTTTTTACAATGTGACAAAACCCTTCTTACATTATACATTTTATTTTATTTATTTAAAATGTATTTATTTATTTGTTAATAGGGTGCATGTGCTCATTGGAGACAAAGGAAGAGAGGGAAACTGGTTTGGGAGGGAGAACATGCTGCAATTTTTCCTCTCTTATTTTCTTCTTAGGACTTTGGTTACTCACACATACGTGGCCAGGATGTTTTTTAAGTCCCTGGGCCTGAGACTTGAACTGTACTGTATTCCATGTGGGATCCAGCCACCTTAATCACAATGTCACAGGCTGGCTTTAACTGATTTTTTTTGGAGGGGTTTTTGCTATAGGGCGCGTGCGCTCACCAGACAGACAGAGAGAGACAGAGAGACAGAAAGCGAGAAATCACCCCCCAGGGGGATGGTCACACCGCATTCCTTTCTCCTCCATTCTCCTCTCGGGATCTTGGGCACTCACGCACACGTGCCCAGCATGAGTTCTATGCCACCGGGTCTGGGACGCGAACTGCGGTCGAAATATGTGGGAGTCCAGCGACATAGTCATTAAGCTAACTGCTGGTTCCCTTAACTGATTTTTTTTAAAAAGGTTTTTGTTATATGGTGTGTGTGCTTACCGAAGAGAGACAGAGACAGAGAGAGGAAACATGAAAAATAACTCCGTACACCACAATCCCTTTTCCTCGATTTTCCTCTTGGGATTTTGGGCACACATGTACGCACTCCTGGAATGCTTTTCAAGTGGCTAGATCTGGGACTTGAACTATAGTCAGCCAAGTCACGCTACCTGCTGGCCCCTATTGATTTATTTTAAGACAGCGTCTCCTCTTGCCATGTCATGATCCCCTGTCTCAGCCTCCCTGAGTTACTGGGATTTCAGGCTCATGCCACTGTGCCCACACTTTACGTTAGACTAGAACCCTAAACAGGGCTTCCTATATGGTCCCTCCTTATGGACACCACAGTGACTGGGCTACATGCTACCTTTTAATTCAGTAATAATCCTGCTGTTTAGAAAGATCTTCTAAGCTATCCATTTTTATCCTATAGGGCTCTGCCTTGTCTTGACATCTTCTGGGAAATCTCATTTAGATTCAGTTACAAAATGGTTATTTGGCCTTCCTATTACCATAAAACTCTCTATTCACTCTTTGTACTAATCTTTTTTTTTTCTTTTTAAATTTATTTTATACATTCAATTATGTACATCACAACAGCTTGTAAAATGAATTTTTCTAACATAAATACTTTGCACACCAGTACAGTTAAAGATATTATCATACACGTTATCATCAACTATCTTCCATTTCTGAGTCTCTTAAATGTGTACTGCTCTTAATCACATTGTATTGTAACCATGTTTTAAATTGAAACTCCTTATTCAGCATTTTATCCCTGATGGTTTTTAACTTAAGAATAGAGCAAATGCCCTAAAATACAAGGGGACTTCATGAAATTCATAGAAAGATGGAATTATTCTATGAGTTTATTTTGTTGAAAAACAGTTTGAAATCCATACATAGATTTTTTTCATTTAATTTTTATCTTTTTTTAAGGTTTTTCATCACAGGCTGTGTATATTTGTGGGGGCTTGGGGGGAGAGAAGACGTGAGAAGTCACCCTCTTCAGAGAGAATCGCTATGCTACAATCTCTTCTCCTCCAGTCTTTTCTTAGGGATTTTGGGCATGCATGCACATGTGCTGGTGTGATTTTCAACTCACCAGATCTGGGACTTGAACTGTGGTAGGCCACGTGGGAGTCCTGCACCTCAACCAGCATTCCACCTGCTGGCCTCCATAGTTCTTTTTATATACATTTTCCATAAACTTTTCAATTACCTCTAATATGCATACATGTTGAGTTATATGCTGTTGAATTCCATTTTTTAAAAATTCTCTAAACTAATGTTTCATTCATCTACATCTTTCTTATAAATTAATACAGATTTGTTCTTTGTATCTTTTGTTTTGGTGAGAACTTACATAAAATGTTACTAAAGACAAGCAATAATCTTTGTCTTATTACATTAAAACTCTTTCTTAACAGTATTTTAGTATTAAATAAGATGGTGGTTGACGTACAGTGGATAAATAATTACAAAGAAGAATGGATGTATGTGATAATATATTTGAAACCATTTGCAACCCTTTAGAAAACCTTTGACATATGCTTCATCCATATTGAACTCTTCTGGTGAAACATGTTGCATTTGTAATCACTCATTTAATATGTTTTCTACTAGCCTGAATTTTATGAGCAGAGAACCTGTGTGTCTCTTGTTTATCCCTAATTCCTCAAGACCTATTGGTACCTGGAATGTACTAAGTATCCAGTAAATTTTGTTGAATTCTTTTAAAATGTGGAGTTCAACTGATTTTTATTTATTAATGTAACCACTTACATGCAGTCTTTCAGTTTGTTTTATAAATTATATCCATTCTCCTCTTGGGATCTTGGGCACACACATAACACGCACCCGGTGTGAGTTTTAAGCCACTGGGTTAGGGACGCGAACCGTGGTCGACTACATGGGAGTCCAGCGACATAGCCATTGTGCTAACTGCTGGTCCCACTTTAGGAAATATTTGTGAGAATTCTTGAGCATGGATAGTAAGCCTGACCATGTGTTGGAAGAAGTCAGTGAGACAAAGGGGATACAGCTAAAATATCTGTTTTAAATAGGACATTTAGATGACAGAGAGCAGAGAAGAGGAGAGAGAATATAACATTTATGATTTTTTAAGTGAAAAGTCAACTTATAAGGTAGATCATGCGTACTATATATAAGACTCCACCTTGTGAAGTATTGAAACTATGTACATGTGTATATATGTATTTGTGTAGTGGTTCATATATATAAGAAAGATAGAATGACTTCAGGTAAACACTGAAATGTTGAATAAAATGGCTATTCTTGTGGAATAGTCATAATGGTGTATTTAGAAAATTGACAATTCTATATTTTTCCTTTAAATTTTCATTCTCCAATGGACATTAATTCCTTTTATAATCAACAATTTAAAACAAATATTTAAAAAGTAAAAATATCTTTTGTCTCCTCTAGTTTAGATGAATTACATAGCACACAATGTTGTTGTTCACAACTTTCCACTTATTGATATCATCTGTGACTTTACAAGTCCACGAGGAATACATATTTTTATGAGATACACATTTTTTCCCCCCAGGAGAAATGCATTTACATTGTTTTAAAGTCTTTAAACATATTTAGAAATTCTAGTAGTTTCTACTTCAATGTTAAATGCTGGACTTCTTGCAACATTCTTTTATTTATTGGTACATTTGTCTCTTAATTATTTTACTTTATGTAGTACTTCAAGCTAATAGAGAAAGAGATAAGATGTTGCTGAATATCATTATACCAACACCGGGCTTTGGCAAATCTTCTCTTTTGGTTACATTGACTTCATGCGATAATGAAACAAAACATCACTGATACAAGTGCTGTCTTCAGTGTAAATGGA